CTGGCTCTTCAAGAATGCCGCCAACTCTAACGCAGTCAATACGGAATAACCGAAATTAGTGATCAAATTATGGCCATCGGTGCAGCTACCGATTCTATCCAACCTTTGCCCGAGGTGGCGAGGTCCTGCGCGCGCGGGCGGAAGCGGAAGGGCTGCACGTCGTAGCCGCGCACCACGTGCATATAAGTCTCCAGCGGCCGCAGCGGCAGCGCCCCGCCGTACAGGTCGTGCACCGTGACCAGCACGCCCTTCGCCAGCTGCCCCGCCCCACGGCGGTCGATCGCCGCACTCGCCATCCCTCCTCCAGTTGCAGTGGCCGAAAATAAGGCTCACCGCTTAGAAACCTTTCCAATCCGATCTCGTGACCAACCTAATTTCGTTCGTAACTTCGGGCCTTGTCAAGACCCAAAGACGAAGCAAGGACCATGAACGCGACGGACCCTGGCGCGCAGAGCGTGCACGGCGTGAACCCGCAGACGCTGGTGGAGAAGATCATGCGCAACCGCATCTACGCGAGCACCTACTGGAAGGAGCAGTGCTTCGGGCTCACGGCCGAGACGCTCGTGGACAAGGCCGTGGAGCTCCAAGAGTTCGGCGGCACCTTCGGCGGCAACCAGCAGCCCACGCACTTCCTCTGCCTCTTGCTCAAGATGCTGCAGCTGCAGCCGGAGCTGGAGGTCGTCCGGCAGTTCGTCGAGAACGACGACTACAAGTACGTGACGGTGCTGGGGGCCGTCTACCTGCGGCTGGTGGGCAAGCCTCGGGAAGTTTATACGCTGCTGGAGCCGCTGCTGAGCGACTACCGCAAGATCCGCAAGCGCAACGTCATCGGCTGGGAGATCTCCCACGTGGACGAGATCGCGGACGCTTTGCTCCACGAAGAGTTCTACGTGGACTTGGCACTGCCCAGACTGGTGGACAGGGAGCTGCTGGAGAAGAACGAGGGCTTCCCGCCGAGGCGCAGTCCGCTTGAGGACGAGCTGGACGCAGAGAGTGATAGCAGCACGAGTGACAGCGAGGAGGAGAAGGAGTGAGAGGCGGAATTCGAGCGGGGCCTCGCTTTCGCTGAACGATTTGTGTTGCTGTTGCTGTTCTGTTTCCTTAGGGCGAGTAGCGCCTTCGATGGCATTTTTGCAGTGCAAGACTGTAAGACAGCACCCTCTGAGCTTGTCGATGGTAGTGCTCGAAGTGCTTTGGGTATGTTGGAGCTCTCGCCCATCGTGCGTCCGTCGTATTGAGCGCAGTAGTCGATGTTGTTGTGCACGCACACATCAAAGGCACTCGAGCAGTACTGGTTGATAGCGAGGGCCCTGAGGCTCCAGCTGATAGGACGGCTCCAGAGCGCCCAAATGAGGTAATGGGGATTTGACTCTTGGCCACAACAAACCCGCAAAGATGATGAAGATGAGCGTCGAGACCATTCCCAGAGGCGTCACTGCATTCGCGTTGGGGCCGACAGCGGACAGGGAAAATTACCACATGCTCATTACCAACCTCGAAGATGATGAACTGGGCCGCATTTAACAGACCCAATAGACCAGCGAACCAAGGATGACGGCAGCCAGCGGGATCCGACTCGCCGATGTGGCCAAGACGTAAGACGCCATGCGGAGGAGTTGTTCGCCCCGGTGCTTGCAAGAAATGCCACCAGGATCGTTCTCGGAAGTAGTCGATGCGGTTACGGCAGTTCGTGCCCAACTCGCCGAAGAAGACAGTCTCACCACCACGTTTGAGGAGCAGAAGGCCGAGCTCAACACCAATGGCCAAGCGCTTCATCTGCTCCACGGAGCTGCCGCGGATGATCTGGTCGGCGATGTCCTCCAGGCCGAGCAGCTGAATGCACTCGTTCACCGAGTCGTACTTCTTGGCGTCCGGGATCGAGGCGTCCTGGCGCAGGAACGAGCTGAAGGTCAGAGCTTCACGAATGGTTGAGGCCTCCGAGTGTACGACCATCTGCTCGCAGTAGCCCGTGCTACGGCGAGTGGCCAAGTCGCTAGCCTCGTAGCCGTTCAACAGAATCTTGCCGCCGGTCCTACGACCAGCAAGGACATTCATGAGCGTCGTCTTGCCAGCACTAGAGGAACCCATGAGAGCTGTGATCGGCTCGGGAACAGCAAAACCGTTGATGCCCTTGAGAAGCTCATCTTTCTCCTTCGGGTTGTGAGGGTCCGGGACCCAGTAGTGCAGATCCTGGAACGCCACCGTCACCGGAGTAAAATTCTTCTCACGACCGACCGGAATTTCCACGATAACTTCACCCTTCTCGTTCGTTTGGTCCTTGCTCTTCGAGGTCGCCGCCAGCGTGCACGGGTCGTCCTCAACCATCTTCTCGGAAACATGGACATTCTCGGGGGCTCCGTACCGCAGGAACTCCAACACCAGGAAGGAGAGAAACATGAAAATCACGTAGATGGCAATCGTGTAGATGATGCCGTACGCGACCCACGACTTCTTCGTGTCGGTGCTGAAGAAGTCGTGAAGATCAGCGTCGAGAGGCGTCACCACGTTCGTGTTGGGGCCGGTAGTAGACAGGAAGAAGAACCACCTGCCCATTGCCAACCCACCCACGTGGGTGCTGGAGTGCATTGGTGCTGGAGTGGGCAACACTACTGGGTCCCTGACCCTCACAACCCGAAGGAGCTACTTGAGCTGCTGAAATGGGCAGCTGGAGGTCAACATGAGAGCATCACGGTTCCGTCACCGGACCTTCAGGAGATGGAGTTCGGCAAGAAGCGAGGGTGCTGCCATCCCGGTGACGCAGACGAAGTTTGTCGTGTGGCGCTACATTCAGATGGACTGGCGGACGTCCGCGTACAACCTGACGCGTATGATCGTGGCTGTCTTCCTGTCGCTGCTCTTCGGCCTCATTTTCGTGCGCACCGACTACGCGTCGAACTCGGGGCTGAATTCCGGCGTCGGTATGATCTTCATCGCCGCACTTTTCAACTCCATGGTGGCTTTCCAGAGTGTCCTGCCGCTTTCGTGCTCGGAACGTGGTTCGTTCTATCGCGAGCACGCGTCGCAGACGTACAACGCGTTCTGGTACTTCGTGGGCTCGACCCTCGCGGAGATTCCGTTTTGCTTCATGCTGATCTTCACGGAGATCTTCTATCCCTTTATGGGCTTCTAAGGCTTCACTGCCGCGGTGCTGTTCTGGCTGATCATGGCGCGTACACTCCTGACGCAGATCTACATGGGGCGACACGGCAAAAGGATGGCATTCTTGCACGCCAGCATCATCTTGATGGGTGCGATTAATGTGGTTGTGCCCCCCATAGCGTGTGTGGATGACGCAGCAGAAAGCGCCTAAAACTCATGGGCAAGGGAGATATGTTAAGTTGATGTAAGATTGGCCGGTGCTAGGACTTCATGCGGCATTTCGCTTTTCACTTGTGGGTGTGGTATCGCAAGCTCTACACGAATGTAGCGTTTGCTTGATGATTCAATACTTCTAGGTAGTTCGCGTAACTTGATCTAGTTTCAGCTACACAAGATCGTAAAAGGCCCGAGCACCCACAGTCAAAAGCTATCAGCAAGGCGGTCCTTTCTATATTTTGTTGTACTCATAACAGCGTTCTGTGAATAGATAACAGCCTAAACATTGAAGCAGTGCGAAAAGTAATTAGTTTTTTTTTCGCAATTATCGAAAAAATTAGCAATGTTAAACCAAACTTTTATGACGTCTTGACTCTGTGATATCGACCCTTCACCAACAGCAGGACAACCAGAAATGCACAGAACAGTCGTTATTAGGCGTCTGTTTAAATGATGTTTTATCATCTGTTGCAGCGATTGCGCCAAATCTCAAGAGAATTGCATCCAATTTTAGTCAACGATTTAGAAAATAAAACCACGGATTTAGGAATCACAGAAAAGAGGTTTATTGATTGAGCTGTCAGAGCTTTGTAGCCATTCTCTGTTGTTGAAGCTGTCGTGGTTAATGCCGTCGGACAAACTCCATTTGGCCCCACGGACTTACGAACTCGAGGGAGCTTAAAACCATTGCCTCCCTCGTTAAGGCATTCCAGCACTTTTTGCAAAGTGAGGAAGCATTTATCTATCGTTTGATATTTACCACTGTTAAATGCAGTCCTTACTGCAGCAATTAGCCCATCGATCTGTTTGGTCGGCTGTCGATACTGTATGGATTGAATTACGTAGAAAATCCCCAAATCCAGTATATTGCAGTCGGTCGAACGTGGAGGCTGGCATACCATCTTGATATTCCAGCCACCGTCTTGTCCAGCAGCACTAACCTCACGGTGATCTTCGTCAACGTGTGGGCCGGCGTTGTCTTGCTGGACAAGAATCGTGGAATTTTTCCGTCCTGAATACGTAAAATGTCAGTTGAGCATAGTGAAATCAAGTCAACTAAATTGAAAAAATACGAACCTGGCCACTTTTCTCGAATAGCAGGAAAAACCTTCGCCTTGAGCAAGCGGACGTACACCGTTCTGGTCATGTTGATGTTCTTGGTGATCGGGGTACCGGCAACGCAGTTCTTTGACGTCTTCTTTGCCGTAGTGTACTCAACAATAGGCCATATTCCGATTTTTCCATCAAAGTGTGTCCTTTTTGAAAAATTGTACCGCGGTCTCGCTACGGCTGCGAGAAACATAACCTTACCGATATAGCGTTTGTTAGGACACGAACGGTAAGGCAATGCTTCATCAGCAGACAAGTAGTATCGAGACGACGCCTTGTATATGTTAAACCGTTTTTCATCTATGTGAACAACATCATACATGGCATCAAAACGATATGAACGTCCGCCTAAAAACAATATTAGATCACAATAATCTCAAGTAATATAATATCAAAATAATAATTGAGTCGTACCAATTGGGCGCGGCAAGTGCCCATGCCAGCAGCTGTAGCTTGTGCGCGTCGGTGAGCTGCGGCTTGACCCTTGAGATGAAGACAGCCGCACGATCGACCCCGCAACCCCGCACTGCAGTGGAGCTCCTGCTCGATGCCCCCGCCCCACCACCGCTACCAACGACGACGCAGCTCAGCGGACGAGCGCAGAGCTTGGCTCTGAGGATGCTGGTTCAACTCCAGCCGTAGCCAAACTTAGTATCGAGGCGGGGCTTTGCCTGTGCTGTCGCTACTGCGTTTGGTGTCGGTGTGTGATGTATCTACTGTTGCTTCTAACCTACTGTGAGTCGTGCTAAACATGCAATAGACGTTGTATTTGCCTCTATGCTTGTGTGTGCTTGATTTTGTCGTTGTTGTTTCTTTCTAAATGATAGATGCCAAAGGCTCCAAAGGATCTTGGCGATCTGGGTCACGGATGGCATCAGCACGACGCAGCTACAGGTGCTGGGCGATCTTGTCGTTTAGATCACCCTTCATGTACATATCGTGAAGATGTTTGCGGATAGCTGTGGAGCCACGCGACATGTTTTTGCGGGCGGCGAGGAAGGCTAGTACGGCAGCCTCCGCCTTCTTCCCGAGCGCCAGGACTTGGTCACGATAGTCGTCGGTGCTTGGGTCCAGCTTCAAGTCATCGGCGACGAAGGGCTTCATCAAGCCCACGAGCTGCTTTGCATTCGACCGCTGCCGCTTCGGCGCGTCTGCCATCCAACGAGGTTCCTGCGCGTACCACGCGAACCACGTCGCGTGAAGGTAAGTCACCGACATCCGTCGGCGCTTGGGCTTGTCCTTTTCTTGGCTTGGTTCCTGCTGACGTTTGTTGCTCTTGTCTTGTGCTGGGGCTCCGTCCACTTTAGCTTCTAGGTTGTCTAAGCGTTCGTCTTGGCGCTTGATGTGCGCCATTAACTGGTCAAGGACACTGCGTTGATGGTCGATGATGCTGCTCTTGTTGCTTTGTTCCTTGTGCGTATCTGCATCTTGTTCTTGGCTTGGCTCGGTGCTTCCACAGGTGGCGAGATGTGAAGACCATGCAAGAAGCTCAGCAACAGACGCGCCGCCATTCACAGCTGCCGACTCCAGTCGTCTGACGGCAAGCGCATCGGCGTCGAGCCTCTTCATCAGGGGGTAATGCAAGATGAGGTAAGCTGTGAGCACATCGGCTACTTGCTGACTCAGGTTGTACTTGGCGCTCTCCATCTTGTAGCAGGTTGTAAACAGCGAGCGTTGGACATCGGCGATCTTCACCTGTGTCTCGGCGTCGAACGGCTTCAAGTCAAACGCCTGGACTGCGGACTTCGTGTCGTACCCGCTGAGTGCCTTACTGACCATGTGATCTTCTCTGCTTGTGTTGAAGATGTAGTTGAACCCCTTGTTTGTTGTCGACATGTTCCAGGCCCCGCGGTCAAAGATCCAGCGGTGTGTGAGGCCTTCACACCCGTTCGCGTGCTGTGCTCCACCGCGGCGAAACGAGTGGGACGTCAGCGGTTGTACGACTCCAGCAGCAGGCGCGACGCGGTTCAGCAGACGTTGACGTGGGAGTATATCGTCAGGACAGCAGCGGCGGGCTTCGGGTCAGCACCGTCAAGAGCGGCAAACTCGTCGGGGTGATTCAGCACTTCCACCAGCGGAGTCGCCGGCGACAGCGTGACGGCGGCTTCGACCGAGATCTCGGGCAAGTTGTCGACCAAGGCAACGGACGGGGCGGGCTGCGTGATGAGCGCCACAGCGATCGCGTGCAGCGGGCAGGTGACGAAGTCGGCGTCTGGGAAGAGCGACAACCCTTGCTCCTCAGACGTCTTCATGCGGATGAAGCGCACGAAGAACACATCGGCTGCATCAACGGAGAGGTTCTGCTTGCGGACGAGCGACAGGTCTGAAGCTCGTTCAAACAGTACCACAGCAGACACAACAGAGCTGCATCTTGGTAGTCACTAGAGGAACAGGCATTCTTATACAAATACAACATCATCTTTTTTTAATTACTCTTGGAGCATGGTGGGGCTTTGTTGACTATTTTGCCGTCTCGCTTCAGGCAAAAGCTGTCAAGAGTCTTCCCCATGCCAAGCATCTTTGCTTCGACAATATGTCGTTGCACGGGGAAGACGTCGAACAGTCACCTTTTACTCTGTCTAAAGTATTGCTTGACGGTGTTCCGAGCAAGTGTTTGGCCTTCTTATCCTCCTTAAATGCAAGATACATGCCAAACTTATCCAGCACCCATTTACTTGTAGCGCCTTGCTTAATGCATTGCTTAACATAGTCAAACTCTACATTTTCGCTTTTGCAGAAGGCCGTGGACGCACCTTTGGCTGTTGTCTTAGCACGCTTGGTGTTGTCACACTTGAGCTCAGCTAAGCCCATCCTGGTCGGATTCGTCGGATTGGAAGCAAATATGCAAGTGATATTATCGATACTTGTAGTTTGGATGGAGATACACATATTTTTCATGCCCCTCCGACCCGATACGTCGGAACGACTGGTCTAGAGGACCTCCCAAAATCTCTACCTTGCGATTGGTCAAAACGATTTGAACAAACGCATCTGATAGGTTAATTATAAATTAAATGCGGTGATCGGTTGTTGCTGGGCCACTGTGCCCCATACAAAAGTCAAGTATGGTCGGATAAGTCGTCATATTCATCCATAAGATGAGATCTTCACTTGGGAGACCAGGTTGGTTCAAACTCGACATCCGAGAAAAACCTACACCTTTCTGAGGATCAATCCATAGCTCTGCGTCCTCAGTCCACAACGTACGATGACAGGTTTTCACCTGGTAGATAGTCCTACTGACAAACCAAAGTGAGCACATGTACTCCAAAGCTCGTCTTGCTGGTGCTGAAGGCATCAGGCCTTCGGCAGCATATCGTCATCCTAGTTGGCATTACAGTTTGGTTCGACACTGGTCCTGTCAATAGGGTTGTCGTGATGCTTGGACTTGTCATCACGCGTGTCGTGATGCCACGTGCTTGTCAACAGAGATGTCGGTATGCAGTAGACAGCGTACGGCTGCGTCGAGATGCTGCTAACTTGCTAACACTACAAGCTCCTCATCAAGCCGTGCATTACACTCACCGGAAGGAAGGTGGGCTCTACTACATGTATGCCTTGGAAAGCTCCGATTTGGTTCGGAAGTATTAATGGCAGCAACTCTGTGGATGCACG